GTTTTGTAGCAGAAAAGCCACCAGCGTGGGCACACTCCAACTTCCCCAGTTCCAAGATTTTCATGTTTACTAGTCCAATGGCCTCTGCACTGAGTACCAATAAGAGTATGGGTAGGCAAACTAAGGTCCAGGGGCCGGATCCGGCCCAATCACCTTCTAAATCCGGCCCACAGACGGTCTGGGAATCAGTGTGTTTTTACATGAGTAGACTATGTCCTTTTATTTAAAATGCATCTCTGGGTTATTTGTGGGGCATAGGAATTCGTTCATTTCCTTCCAAAAAATATAGTCTGGCCCCCCACAAGGTCTGAGGGACAATGAACCGGCCCCCTGCTGAAAAAGTTTGCTGACCCCAGAATAAGAGGGTCCAACGTGACATCTGTTATTTGTGATTATTTGTGTCCAAGAGCAACTGGACTGGGGCCACCACATAATTTCCTTAAGCGGATGAACAGCCATCAGATGGGACAATCACTGAGTCACCACAAACCTGAAATAAAGAAAGCCCCTGTGTCTATTAATAGCTGGAATCTTAGAACTCTCTGCTATCAGCAAGTGTTATCATCATTTTACAAGTCCTTATCATATACTGGAATTGCTAGAGAATTGATGGGCAGAGGCTAGAATTCTACCATTGTTCCCACCTCCTATCCTTATTATATGCCTTCCACATGCTCATCAGGTATGTCCCTGCCACCATGCCAATATCATGTGTTGTGATGCATTTGACCTAGAAACCCCCCCCCCCCGCTTTGGGACAACCAAGGGCTCAATCATACTTCCTCTTGTCCCTCTGATTTCCCCCAGGCATAACTGCTCTTTAATGCTCAGTTGGAGCAAGCAGCAATTTAGGTTTCCTCCAGATGGACGTTTGTTCTGATTTAGCACCAAAGAGTGGGTTTTCCTTTGGAAAGAAGAAGGGCAAGAGAGAAATTGCTCAGACCTGTGCTTTCTAGGCACGGGACAAGTGGAAGTGTGGATGAACCTTCAGAAACTTCAATTTGTGCTATGTACCTCCTTTCAGATGTGGGGAGATGGAAGTAAACTCAATTTACTTTGCAGTGAATGATAAATGGACTCCAACGAGTGTCCAGAACTATTCAATGGGCTAAACTTTATCCCTCAAGCCCTTCATGATCCAGTCTCAGATACTCTCACAACACTTGTGTTCTTGCCTCCTCCTTGCTCCATGGGCCTACTCCAATGTTTCTCAGACTGTGAGCACTGCAATCCACTGCCTTTTGGTGGACACTGCAACATTGCGAAAGAAATGCTAGACACGGCTTCCACACAGCAGTTTACTGTGGGCTGCTCAAGTTTTGCGCAGCATCCACAAGAGGTCATCTTCATCCAGACGTTATCATAAATCCATAATCTGGATTTACTGTTTCTGCAGAAAATCTGGTAATTTTTTTTTTTAAAAAAGACTTGTAGTAGAAATGAACATTCTGGTCAATGCAGGTTTTACAAACAGAGGTTGCTTCCAGAATATCTGTTTATTAGGCATTCATCCTAATTTGTTTGCAGGGAGATGAGGCAACATGCATTTCCCCTGTCACTTTCTTAATTGTGAAAAGTTCCGATTTTTAGGGAAGCGGGTTTGTTGCAAAAGACCTCCAAATCAACTTTAGTTGTGCAAGCTGGATTTGTTGGTTAATGTATTTTTCTAAAAAAAATTCTATGCCATCTATTAAATTGATCTTGGGGCAGTGTATGACAACTCTCGTCTGTTTACTTACCCTGCCAAACCACTTGTTATTGTTAGCCAGTACTGAGAGCCAGTGTGGTGTAGTGGTTAAGAGTGGTAGTCTCGTAATCTGGGGAACCGGGTTCGCGTCTCCACTCCTCCACATGCAGCCGCTGGGTGACCTTGGGCTAGTCACACTTCTTGAAGTCTCTCAGCCCCACTCACCTCACAGAGTGTTTGTTGTGGGGAGGAGGGGAAAGGAGAATGTTAGCCACTTTGAGACTCCTTTGGGTAGTGATAAAGCGGGATATCAAATCCAAACTCTTCTTCTTCTAGCCATTAATCCTTGTGATTGCTGAAACCCACAAGGATTAAGAATGAGGTTTCTACCACTGAAGGTCCTTCCGTGGTTTTCTGCAGCCCTGCACAGGCACACTATGGATCCATGCCTCATTACAATTGTTTAATTGTTGGAAATTGCCTTGGGCCTTGGAGAGACAGCCCAGAAGGATAGAATGAAGCTATGTAAAAGTTATTCCCACTTGTCTGCACTATCGACTGTCTGACTATATTGCATATTCTGCAAGCCATACAGATATTTCTTTGGGACTTGGATATCTTTGGAGCCTTTGACTGAGAAGAAGGTCCATCACTGCGTCCGCTCACCTGTTCTGAGCATCACTGACATAGCAGAAATGAATTTATCCCCCAGGCCTAGCTTGGAAGAGAAAAGAAAAGAGAAATAAAGGGGAGGTTAAAGATGGCATGATGCCAACAACTCAGTTGGATGGACCAGTGGTCTGATTAAGTATGAGGCAGCTTCCTGTATACTTTGGTTTAAATCTGGATTACACTTTCTGTGGCATGCTACTTGAACTATAAAGATAAACTTCCAGCACCACTTCTAAGCTCTGCTTATGTGCCTTTAACAGCAGCCTGACACAAAGCGGCTAAGCAGGTGAACTGCTGTCAGCATGGATGATGAAGGTCAGCTGTTGACTAAATCTCCATTAGCTCCACAACAGTAATTTGCAGACAGACTCCCCTAAATGGTGCAACATAACCCCGCATTGAAGTCAGCAGCCTTGTTGCGCTTCCTGTTCCTCCCCCCCCCCCGAAAAAACCACTATCAAATAAAAGAAATCCGACCCACACAGTCTTTGAAACCTTTCCCACAGGGTAAACAGAGAGGATGCAGTACACCTGCCTTGAGCAAAATAGAATCTAGAGCACAGACAGAACCATGCACTCCTGGTACATTGGGAGAAGGTTGCTGGGCAACAGTAAGGTGGGGAGGGCACAGGTGGAGGAGCGAGATCATTAGGATGCTCTTGACCTCTACAGAGAGGGCCTCAAGACTCATTCAGATGATGCTACATTGGCAAAACATTAATTATTAGCAGCAGGCACAAAAACGAGCCGCAGAGGCAATGTTATGTGCCAGCAGTGGAAAGCATAAGCATAAACAGAGGCCCAGATCCAGCTATTCCATTATGCTAACAGAAGCCAGTACAAGGACTCCTTCTAGCACAGTGGGGGTTTTCCTCTTTTCCCCAACGTTTCCTGCACCTCCCCCATACTGAAATCCACTCAGAGATATTAAGGGTGGGATTCAGCATCACGCTAAGAAAGTTGTTCTGTCACTGCAAACCTTCCTGCTTGCCAGACATAACTATCTCCCCTCTCCCCCCCCCCACCCCCACCCCATGTGTGCTGTTCTGCAGGTTCTCCTGACCAGATTTAGGGAGAGTGTGGAGAGAGGAGAGGGGGAAAGTCCCATTGTACTAACTGGACTTATTAGTGCTGGCTTCTGCTAATTTTGTATCTGTTGATTGCCATCACCTGTTACTTGAATCAATATTGTGTTTGTCCATATAACTCTACTCTGTAAAAGTTGCTACTTACAGCAGCTACTACTATGCTATAAGATCCACTGTCCTGTGATATCATATATGGTATGTAAGGTTGTTGATGGTTTTTATATTATTTTTGCTGTAAAAATGTGTGAGATTATGATATTGTATTTATTTGTATTTCCTAGAGTTTGTACTATTGATGAAGCCCAGGATGGCGAAACAAGGCTAATATTCCAGAAATCCTGGTCTTAGACTCTGTGAAAGGATTCTGTGGAACTGTAACAACCTTTCGTGTGGATTGTTGAACAGACAGGTGGAATACATACTTTTACATATATGTACCTTATGCATAAACTGATTAGAGAATGAACTGATCCACTGGGTGTTCTACTTTTTTAGTTAAACTTTATGAGCTACTTCTGTTGAAATCTACAATTCAATACAATAAATAGTATATATTATTTTTTCAAACGTACAGCCGGTTACATCTGTGTGTTTATTGAATATGTTTCACGTAACCAGAGGTTTGTTGTTGTTTTGGCTTCTGCTAACGCAACAATTTAACTGAATCTGGCCCAATGAGTTAGCCAGTCTGGTAAAGATACCTTCATGGGTCTCAGTTATGGAAGGACTCTCTTTCCCCAGCCGCAACGGCCACTGCCACCCCAGCACACACCTTCTCCCCGTCCCCTCCCTCCCGCTACAGGCACTGGCAATAGGCCCTCTTTTTTGGTCTTCAGAATATGACAATTCTAGCTTGCAGCTACAGTTTTGTTTCATTCCATTTATCTGTTGAAGGTGTTAGTGAAGTCCTGCAAACATGGTGTTATGTGTGTATTGTGGTTATGTCACTTCAGGACACAAATGTTCATGGACAGGGGGTCATGCTTCTCTTTTGACATTTTGTATTCCGATATCACGGTCTTCAGAAGCCATTGGATCTGTATCAAAAAAAGAGTTGAGAATAAATAAAGAAATGAATAGTAAAGGACCAAAAAGATTCTCTCTCTAGTACAGAGGCAGCATTGCCAGGATGGGGAGGCTGCTGCCTGGTGCATGTTTTTCCTTCCTGCTCTCAGTTTCCTCAGTCATCAGGGACAATAATGGCAAGTCAGGCTAGAGGCATTGCCTGAGGCTCTATAGGGCACCTGTCTCAGACACTGAGATGCAATACAGAATGTGTGTGCCTTCCAGTGAGACACATCTAATTTGGTTTTCACACATGCCACAAGAGTGTTCACCGAAGAAATTCAGGTTATAGATCAGAGCCTAGCCAACTGCCACAAAAAACCACATTCCTGGTATTCGTTTACCTCATGATATGCAGGCTTTTCCTTTATTTATTTATCCTTCACCGTAAGGGCAGGCTACAACTATATCAAAGAACAATATTAAAAGCATTTTAAACAAGCCAGTCATCACCAAACTGCATTATTGCAGCCATGAAGACATTATCTGCTGGGATAGCTTGGTTGGTAGAGCATGAAACTCTCCATCTCAGAGATGTGGGTTTGAGCCCCACATTGGACAAAATATTCCTGCATTGCAGGGGGTTGGACTAGATGTCCCTTGTGGTCCCTTCCAACTCTACAATTTCTATGGAATACAGTGAAAAGGAGGGAGCCCAGCTGGGTGGTAGAGCGCAAGCTTTGCATGTCGCAAATTCAATCCCAGCCGACTCCACTTGAACAAGTGGCAGGGCTAGAAAGAGCTTCCACCTGAGACCCTTGAAAGCCTGTGCTAGTCCAAATAGCATTGTTTCCACCCTCTCTTGGTCTTTACTGTGATCCATCTATGGCAGAAAGGCTCAGCTACTCTGAGTTAAACAGTACTTGGGCTGTTTGTGTTTTGCACAGCAGACCAACCACTTGAAGGAGCATGAGATAATTAGCTGTATTGTCTTCCACTCCAGTATATAAACACTTCTGCAACCCAAAACAAATGGTAATTTATTGCAGCTCTCCTGAAGCACAGGTGTGCTGTTTCATTGCCATAGTTGTATAAATTGCTAAAATATTAAAACCCAGATGTCTACTTCTATTTCGTAACTGGTCAACCTAGGAAATGCCATTGTCAACGCAAGCATTAGCATATGTTAAAAGCTGCTTATTTGCTTATGCTGTCAGCTTGGGGTATGTTGTGGGTGGGAGGAGTGAAAACATGAGTGCTTTGTAAACAACATTTGCGATGAGAGATCCTGTCTTGTTCCTTCACCGTTCAGTATGTCCAAGGTGCAAAGAGAGTGCTTAAACGTGTGCCCAAACATCCTTTCAAAACTGTCTGTCTATCCATGTACCCCATCCACTCACATAACTAGGTCAAAACATGCCTTACTCTGATATCATCTCAATTTCTCTTTGTGTGGAAATTGTTTTGTCTTTTACATATTGCAGTAGTCTCTCTCCCTTAGGCATCAGTCCCAAAAGAGGCTGTTGGAGGTAAGGACAGACCTAGAATAATAAGTTATTTCAATAGAGGAAAATAGAGCATGTGCTTAAAAGTCTTCCATTAAAAGCATGGCAACGGGCAATGTTCAACATGTTTATTCAGACATAAGCTCAATGGCACTTACTCCTGAATAGGGAGGGCAGAGAAATTAAATTCAGTTTACATTTAAAGCAGAATTTATCAAATTTGCACTCTCCAAAACAATATGCACACAAACACTTCCATCCTTCACTTATCCAAATTTTGCTACATAGTTCTCCACGGTGCTTTTTTTCTTTTTAAAAAAAAGTTTAGGGGTTCTCTCATTTTCCTACTCATATTGAAATAAACGTTTTTGTTTGTTTTTTTTAGAAAAAAAGCACCGTGGAGAACTTAGATTCACAAAATGTTTAGGGGTATGTGTCCCCCTGCATCCCCCCCAGAAAAAAGCACTGGTTCTCCAACCAATGTTACAAAATGCATAAATTAGGGAGAAATCGTCCTAAAATGAGTATATTAGTGAAAATAACAGACAAATGCGTTGTATTAGGAGAAATTGCTTGCAAAAATGTGTACATTAGTCAAAACGGAATGCAAAAAAAAGTTTCTTAGGAAGAGAAATCACACTAAAATGCTGAAGAATGTTCATGTTGGGCAAAAGATTCCTGCGTTGCAAGAGGTTGGACTAGATGACCCACAGTGTCCCTTCCAACTCAACAATACTATGATTCTATGATCATCACCATTATTTACCTGCCCTTCACCCTAAGGCCCCAGGGTGGCCTACAGCAATTAAAACACAATATTAAATTGGGAACTCTATAGATGACAACAAGCACACTATATTCCAGTGCAAGTGTCACTTGTCAACTGGAATATTGTGCCTGTGACGCTCATGAAATAACACCACAAACTGTGTACACGCATGCAAATCAGCCATCCAACGTAGAAATTGTCATTTTCCTGTAAAAGAAATTCTATTTCATGTTGTGGGAAAATGTGATTTCTCCACTACAGAAATATCCTTAAGGGAAAGATATCAGTTTCTCTGTAACAGCTGAACTTTAACCATCCACTTTTCACGCAAGACTAGATTGCCTGGAAAGACCCAGCAGAGTGATTTTCTGTGGTATTATTTCCTGGACAGGGCTCTATACCAGCCTTGGAATTTCCAGAGTAGAAAAGAGTATTATGACACTATTGTCCACAGCAGCACCGGAGTAGATGTGATAATGAAGAAGTGGTGCTTCCACCCCCAATGTGTCCATCCCCCACCCCCAATGTGTCCGTTTATCTTCAAGGGAGCAAATTCGGTCCTCCCTTAAAGAGGGCACATATTGCGGTGAGACCTGGAAAACCAACACCCTGTGTTGTGGGTGGGTACGATTGGCCAGCCTCAACACCCGATTGGTAGGTCCCTCGAAGCTGGGTGCAATCTGACCAATGGGATGCAGTCCAAACAGTTTGAGGGACCTATTTATGCCCATGCACGTGACCCAGAGCTTCCTCTTTCGGCGCGTGCATTCGGAACACCTGCCCACCTCTCCCTACTTTTAGAGCATTTTGCAATTGACCTTGCTATGCCATCGTGTGTAGTCTGTCGTTGGGACAGGGGCACAGCAGGAATTTTCCCCACTTGGCTGATTGGCTGTTGCCATTTGGGTTTCGCCTGCCACGTAGCAAATCGTCACAACTTGTAAGGTTGCGAATAGGCTCTGGTTCAGGTGATAGGGATGGGAGAACGCTTTCACCATCCCTATGTGAAGGGTATTCCATTAAAGGAATCCAGAGACTCGGTGGTTTGGTCAACCCCTGAGAGGGGGTTGTGCCCGTGCCTGAGTCCAGGGGGACATTTGGGTGGTGGAGTTAGCCCGTTCCCGGCTTTCCGCTTATCCAGGTGTTCACCCTTGGCTGACCTATGCTGGAACCCTGGGTCAGTGCTACCTGCATGGAGGGAGCTAGTAGAACCAGAGCCTATGCAACCAGTCACTTTCTGTAATCAATAAAGTTGTGGCCTAAATTCTGCCAAAAACCAAAAGTAAAATTTGAGTCATGTGTGAATTTATTTAGGGGAGAGGTTTCTGGGTCTGAACACGCAAATGCTTCATCCAAGTTGGTTTCTAAGCTATCTTTCCAGCAAGCCTGTTAAAAATGGTTTTACAGGAATGATGTTTGTTTGTGTTTTATTGTTGCTGACAAAGCAGCCTGCTCTTCAGCACAGTCAAAGAAATGATCTTTCAGGAACTCAAAGATAATGACCCACCAAAAAACAAACAAAAAAGATTTACAACCGAACTAGATATTATGAGTTAGCAAAAGGCATGAGATGACAGCAGAATATTTTCTCCTGACATGGAAGTGTCACATGCTATGCTAAATATAAATGAATCCCCACAAGCTTCTTCGCGTAGCATATAAACCAGCCTTTTGTGTCCAATCACAAATCATCATAAAATAAACTGTTCAATGTCCCACAATATTTTTACAAGTTTGCATTTTCCCTAAACCAATCTCTTCTCTTAAGAAACAAAGACAGAAGTGTGTGAGTGTGTGAGAGGTTGCCTTTATTCACAACTTATATGTTTTTATGATTTCTGTCAGGGAACAAAAGGGCATTTTAAAAACTTAATGTTGTTACTGTTGGGATAATATTTGAATGACTGTACAGCCAATGACTCTGAACAGGACCTTCTTAAGCATATGCTGCGCCAGGGTGCAAAGATCCGCCTGCCCCCCCAGGTTGCCCAGAGTTGTTTACCTTTTTTAGGGCAGGGCGGGCACCCGCCAATCCCAGGTTCGCAGGAGGGTGGAGCCAGACGGCTGCCTTAGTGCCTCACTCGCCCACAGCAGAAGAGCTGCAGCGCTCCAACGGACTTTGCTCCGCTCAGCAGTGGCTGTCGGCTCTTCCCAATCCCCGGTGCCCAACGCCCAGTTCCCCCTCACCCTAGCACCCTGAGTGCCTGGTGCCCAGTTCCCCCTCACCCTAGCACCCTGAGTGCCCGGTGCCCAGTTCCCCCTCACCCCTAGCACCTATGGGTAAGACGGCCCTGACTCTGAACTCAAGAGTCATTGGCACAAATCCTACAGTATTCCATTAAAACATCCTTACAGGATGAGCCTTATCCCTCATTGTATTCAGCATCACAGATTTGGGCCTCCCTTGCTATTCCTCCAGTATGCATCTGTCAAGGCTGCCTCAAGTCTTAGCTCACAGAAGACCAACGCCTATGTCTTCTTATATACAAAAGTGTTTATTGCAGTTCATGGTTTGCTTGACATCCTAGGCGCGCAGCCTTACGTCTCTTACGCTAGACCGCCGAAGTCCCCTCTGAGTCAGTTCCTCCCCTGCACCAATTCAAGAGACTTGCGCTGCTCCACCTCTTTCTCTCCTTCCTTTTCCGCATGGTCCTTCTGCCCACTGGGGTTTCGCCCCTCCTGGATTCCTCTGACGCTGAATCCCCAGACTGCTCTTCCCCCCTCCTGCGGGCTTTGGGACCTGGCCCCTCCTCCGGGCTCCCTGCACTTCCGCGTGCCTCTACATTTGAACTAGGCGCGCGCGCCAAACCTCTAACTTTCCTTTTGACAGTTACACTACTCCCTTCACTGCTCCTCCCCTTCCGGGAGGGCGGCTTGCTCTGACCCCCTCCTTTCTCTGCTGCTGGAGCTGCTTCCTCTGACACACTGGAAACTCCACCCCCTTCGCTGCACTCTGGTGGGGAGGCTGGTCCTGACGCCCAGCTGCCACTTTGGGATCCTCCGCTGGCACCCTGCTCCTGACACTTCCCCTGGGGCTCCCTGGCCTTGACCACCGGCGCCCCTTCTGGGAATCCTCTGATTCGCTGGAAAGACTCATGGAATCTCTTGAGTCATTGTCATCCTCTTCCTCGCTGGCTTGGAATTCCTCCCCATCGCTCTCCATCTCCTGCCTACCCTGTGCCTCTCTCCCTGAACCCCTGACAGCATCCTATAATAAAACAGATGTACACATCACAGAGAGCACATCCGCACTAGCAGTTTTTGTTTCAGTTTCAGCTGAGTAATAATGTGCTGTGAGGATTCATTTAACCGGTAATACATCTCATGAAACTTTCCCACCAACAGTG